TGAAGGAAAGGCGGATAATTCGCGCAGGAACACAACCACCCAGAGAGAGAATATAAGGAAATATAAGGAAATAACAAAACTCGATGAAAAGTGGATACCACGATGGGCAACGAAGAGTCTGCAAGATAAAGTTGAAGAAACAATCATAGTGCGGAAAACTGATAAAGGGGAAAGTTTATAAATATAGGTAGTTTTTAATGAAAAAGTTCGAAAAAATAATGTGAATTCGGTTAAAAAATCCGCGTGTGATGCGCCATGTTGGCGGGCGTAAGCGCAATCCCTGCCCTTTAAATTTTAAAGATCCGACGCCGTGTGTTGTTATGTTCAAGTTTATGATATAAAGTTTGTTCTTTTGAGTACAAGCTCTTTCGTTCCTTAAGGACAGAAATATTCCAAATTTTCGTGTTCAAAATGTTCAAAACACTGGCGAACTGACATGGACCGACTTTTCTCTAGCTGTATTTTTTTTCTTTTTTCTTCTGACCAACTGGAAAAAGTTTGGGGTGTCACACCCCTCCTAATGTACGCTTCTGCACAGATGTTCTGTCTGACAAAATTGCTATCAACGTAGGGGCCTCAGGGGTATGTTCTGTCATCTAGTATTATTCAGCCTGTGAACAAATGCATGTAGATGTGATTTTGACGACTGTATTATAATCAGATATGCCGATAATACAGTGATTACAGAAAAATATCAGTAATGATGTCTGCAGAAATTACATACCTCAGGTACAAAAATTTGTTAAGCTATGTAAAGAAAAAATATTAAGTATTAAACGTTAAGAAAACTGAACAAGTGAAAGTAGATTTTAGGACAAAGGTCAGGAATGTTCTAGATATTATTAGTATTTAAGGTGAACCTGCTTAGCGGGTAAATCAATATAAATATCTCGGGATATTAATCTATGACAACCTTAAAAGTAATGAAACAGATTTACTGATGTAAAAATGTAACCAGACGTCATTTTCTCGGAATTTTAAATTAACGTCCATGTAGATAAAAAAGATGTTTGTTTTACAAATTCACTCTAGAGGCAAATCTAAACTTTTCAGTAACTATTTGGTACATGAAATTAATTTGTGCAAACAAAAATGAACTACATAAATTAATAAGGTTAAAAGATTCGGTGCAGAAGTAATGGCAGCAGATAGACTGAAACTTGTGGAAAAAAATAATGCAGGATGAAACCCATCCTACAGATGGTTGTTTTTTGTTTTTAAGGTCAGGAAGGGGGCTGACACTACCCATGATAAGGACAGATCGACATAAAAAATCGTTTGTTCTGAACAGCATTGTGATTTAGAAAAAAAAATTATATTCATAGGACTCATGTTTTACGTGTGAGAGAGGAGATTGGGTGTGTTTTTTTATTTGTCTGATGTTTATCAAAATTTCTATCTGTACTATACACTGTACTTTCACTTTTTGGATACTGTTAGCCACAAAGATTTTCATTTGGTGCATAACAGTGTGACAAATAAACTATCTTTGTCTTCATTGGGGAGATCATGTCTGTGGAAGGCAATCTTGGCAATGACGCCCCGTGTTTGGAGGTAGCACTACGGGGAAATGGACAATTAGGATGCAGAATAGTAATAAGGGAGGAGGGGGTTAAAAAGGAAGAAGACTGTGGAGGAGGATGAGAAATACTTGGATGTTGGGAGAGAGGAAAGAATGTTTCCTGAAGGTTGAGTAATGACCTGGGTGGATGACTTGGAATGGAATGAGCTGTCAGTAGGCATCAATGATGGGGAAGTAGTAGCAGTGATCAGAGGCGTCTTCAAAAAAGAGCCAGGGGTCGGGCAACTGGAAATGTTAATACCTATAGAGATAATGATTAAAGGGTCAAGCCCCAATGCCCCTAATAAAGGTATATATTCGTTATCGGACAAAAGCCAGCCTTTTATTATTTCGGCACATCTCTCTCATCTTAGGAAGTGGACAGAGGGGTTGGAGTACAGAAGGAAAAGGGGAGAGGGAGAAGAAAAGCCCAGCCCCCCACTCCCCTTATTTAGGGGGTACATATGCTTGTTCCCAACTTTTGAAATCACCCCCCATTTTTGTACCCCCTATTTGCGGGCTTTTCTGAGGAAATTGAGTCCTTTGAAGGAAGGACTAGATCCTTACCCCCCTAATTGAAGGGAGCCCTGTGCTAGTCACAATGACTGAAATGGGAAGGTGCTGGAACACTGTTGTCCTCAGACCATGATAGAGCCTCCACAAGGCTTTCCAAAGACTGTGAGTTGGCAGCAAAGAAACACCATGAAGTAACCTGTGGACAACACTGCAACATACTTCTGGCCTTGAGTGAGTTGCTCGACTACATGGTGCATGATGGAGAGGGAAATGACACGATTACCAACATTATCTTTCCCTATTTTGATGATTGTTCAATGAAAATATAACCATTAAAATCATTAGTTGCCATCCTCTTTGAAAACCGAAAATAACAAAATGAATATTAAACCCTATGTGCTTTTTCCAAAAACAGAATCGCAA